CACGAGCGTGGTTGTCCATCACATCCACAAGGAATGCCCTTTGGTCAATGTCGTAAGACTCGAACGGCATCATGATAAGGTGGTCCTCTGGCAGTACCACCTTGGCTGGAACCGGGAACACCATAATAACCACCGGGTCATTGACGCCTCCCAAGCTATTCCAGAGTCCCAGCGGATTGTTCCATGTGACACTGCCTCTTCTAGAAGAGAACAAAGTTATCGGAATAGACTGGACAAAAACTCTCTCAGGTAGGACCCAAACAGATATCTCATCCATCCTGGCATGAGTCCAGGCTCTATTTCTAACGAAATGATTCCAGACCCGCCATGAGGACTCCAGCCCTCGGTAAAGCCGAATGGGCGTTATGACAGGCTCGAAACATCTCTCTTGCTCTCTCTCTGCAGCAGTACGAGATCTTTGTTCTGTTTGCATAAGGCTCAAGTCCTCCATTGTGTCAGTTGTCGAGGCAACCCTTTGGTCAGCAGAGTGACCAGCAGGATTATCCCCTCCTCCCCTGTCAGGTCCAGTCGAATCTCCAAAAGTCGTTATGCACGACTCAGTTTCAACCACGAGAGTCAGGTCGATTCGAGAAAAATCAGGAAAAGAGAGGAGTTGTTTTCCTCGAAATATAGCGCGCGGGCACCCCTCACAATATGCAAAAGCAGCAAAAACTTGGGTGATTCGCTGCCTAAGTGTAATACCGAGCACATCTGGCAATTGCATGACCGGAACATCCCTATGAACTTCCGCAGCAAGACGTGTCACAAAGGTATAACCTGTTCCAAAACTGGGGTCGGTGGTGCTCCAAACATCAAATAAGTGCACCACATGATCTGCCGGGAGCATATGATTTTCCACAGCAAGAACATGTATTTGTTGATAATCAGCATGAGAGATACTAAGTGGTTGCGGCTCAACAGCAGCGAGTCTAGGGGTCTTGAAAACCTCAGAAACCCGCCAGAACTCTAAGGCACGAGCCCAATTTCCCTCTCTCAACAGCAATCGTTCACATTCTGCAGTTGTAGCTTTCAGCGGTCGTATCCGCCACACCGCTAGGACGGTCGCTTCAGCTTCAACATAAAAGTGTAGGCTGCGTACCCAAGTTTGGAGATCATCTTTCTTGATAAAGTTGTGTGCAGCAAAGCTAGCGATGTCGTGGATGGGCAAATGCTGTGACACGGCCTCAGCATACTTTGCGTAAGTACTGGGAGCCTGTATGTCAGCCAATTGCATCATTGCAACCACGTCCTCTTGCTCAAGTGGAGCAATACCATCTTGTTGGAGACTATCGTCAAATCCCACATCCAGAGAAATACCTTCATACAGCAAATTGTTGTCTGCGGAAGTATCTGCCTGGAGCCACCACAGATTATGCCCAACGGGACATTGATCCTGAGGAGTTGCAGTGTTCTCTCCCCGCCTGGTGGATGTACGGGATGTCCAGTGTCTCATCCTGTCTGAAGAACTCCCAGCAGACCCATGAGACACATTGCACAGGGCCTGGGGTGACTCTACTCGAGGTATGAAACCGTGAAAGCTTTCAGCATTTTTCCGACCAATGTAACTGAACTCTCTCACACCCAGTTCTTGAAGAAGACCAACTTCCTCATCTTCATCGTGAAACTCTCCACCTGTGTAAGTCGTAAGGGTTGCAGTGTTCTCCCTTTCAATGTGAGAGTGATCATTCCAGAAGGATCCTCCAGTGGAACTGCTCTCACCTTGACGCTGGAAAACAATCGAATCTGCATTAGTTCCCTTATCGCGAGAAACTTCAGTGGAAAAAGTATCACAAAAATCTTCTCTCGAATTGCCAGCTGTGCTAACTAGATCTCCTCTCCTCAAGGGTCGTGCCTGTATCTGCGCCAGTTTGCGATACTTGATAGACCGAAAAGGGGGCGCACATGCACAGAAATCAATCCGGCTGGCACCCCGTCGACTCTGTGTAATTTGACGCACAAGGACAGGTGTAGCCCCCGACGTCGCAAACACGATAAAATGGAAAGTCTCATCTCGAAAGTGCTCAGTAGGCTGTGGTCTCACTAGCTCAAACGAACAAGAGGACAAAACAAACTGTTCCAACCAAATGCTACATAGGAGATCTCGTAGATTACCAAACGCTTCCTTCGGTATCAGAGTATCCCTAGCCTCCCCACAGCAGGAATTGTGGGGTGCAAACCAAACTTTAGCATTCCTCGGTTCGGACAGGAAAACAAAACTACGGATCTTGTCCTCAATATCGTTTGTCCTGAGAGCTGTTTCAGAATCACTACTGTCTTGTGCATGTGATCCGGAACCAAAATCGCCCAAAACTGTTTGTCGGTCGTCGCTCAACTCATCGCCTCTAAGTCCGCATGACCCGTTGGCAAACAGAGGAGCAACATCCTGACTGAGGCCTTCTGCGTCCCAAGCAAGGGACAGGATCTGGGAGCGCCCCTCACAAGGCCTAGAAGGGGAACTTCCACTCGAAGCGGATGACTGCTCAGCCTCTGGTAGGGCACAGCCACCTCTATCACGTCCCAATTCACGAGCAGCCGTAGATTCAAGTGCTCGTGTCACAGGATGCGAAGAATCAAGTCGAGTGGATCTATATGATCCATGCACTTGATGTTTAACATCTTCTTGGTCGAAAATGATTGACCTCTCATGCTGAACGAACGAGACGACTTCTGAAAGGCCTCCTATATCATGTGCCCCTCCCGGGTTCGGCTCAAGACCATCCCTTGGAAGGATTCTCAGGACCAAGATCAGTCAAGTCGTAACCCAACTTCTGAGAAACAGCCGAGACATGCGAAAAAGCTAAGCTAAAACACAAAACCAGGTATTTCCACCTGATTCCTGGCTCACTGACTCGAGAAACTGGTTTACGAATGCTCTTCACCCTTCTGCATCTGCCTATTCGGTCGATTCTACACGACACCGACAAACGGCCGGCCGTGACAAGGGCAACAAGGGCAATAGGGAGCCAAACGACTCTTCTTACCACTTCAAGTCGGATATGCGCACCCTCGAAGTGAATTAATCGAAGCATAACAATTGCATGGAGCCCCCAAAGGGCCATGAGTTGAAAGCTCCACCAAGACAGTCGCAATCTACGCCAATACCCTTTAAGGGAAGTCCGCAGAATTAGCTCAGTCCACACTCGAAATGTGATTCCGAAACAAGCTCCCAAAACGATTGAGTTCACAGAATCAGCAACGATCTCGTTGAAGAAAAGATCTGAACTCGCGCTCCTAAAGCCGAAGGAAAAACCAGTCCATCCCCAAGATTTGGACTGTGCCTCAGGATCTGAAAGTTCGATCAATTCCTCACTTCTGGCTGGCGGCAAACTGGATGCGATCAAAAGTGGATTGCATGCTGACAAATGGCATGACTCTGTGTATCCTCTTAACCAAGTGCATTCCAGAATTTCCTCAATCACGAAAAAGAGAAGAGTCGCCCATTGAAAAGTGGCGCCTCCTTCACCTTCTTGATTACTATATCGGAAAAACTCTCGGGCAGCTCTACTGTCACTCCTGGACTTATAACAAGCACGCCCACCTGCTCTGTGCCTTGTCAACCCATCCGCTCCAGGGAGTTTGATGTGTCCCTCCTCGGGCTTCTCTCCCTGGATGGCGTTCTCGAGGGAATCTCTTCTCCCTCTATTCTGCGTCGGGCCGTTTCGATAGCCTGCATTCTGGTCATCCTCGCTAGTGCCAACTTGTCTGATCCATCTTCTCCCAGCGTCAGAGCCGTTGGTGGCGGCCTGTTCGTCTGCGGGGACTTGTCGTTGAAAGGAAATTCTCCAAGCGTATGTCCGGCACCAACCGCATAGGCTTCCATCTTCTGTTGAAGATACAGGATCTGGGCTTGTGATTCCGCGAGTTGGCGCCTCAGTCCTGCTGAAGTCGCCTTGTCTTCTCTTGTCGAAATATCCATGCCCTCCTGATCTCTTGTAGTAATCTTGTTCAAGTCGGCCTGGGTTTCCGCAATTGCCTGTTCTAAGGTCTTGATGTCGGTCTTGAAAGTTTCTTCTTGTTTGTCTCGATGCTCCTTGAACTTCACAAGAAACACCTCCCAGGCTTCCTTCTTTTCGGCCACTTTGGATTTCAACTTTTCCAACTTGGCCAACAACTTCTTCCTTGTATTGAGGGTTCTCTGCTCTGTCTTTAGATCGTCCAAAGGCCCACCTTCCAGAAGCTCCTTCAGCTGTCCCTCGGGCTCGATGTCCTTGGACTGCAGGAAGTCCAAAATGCCTTGCTTCCATTGGTCTGTCTTCCCACCAGCAGACGCCGAGGAGGAAGACGTAGTAGACCGCAGAGATTCGTAGGCAGGAAACTCTGGCTCTTTGGGATCCGAGCTTTTTCCCTTGCCTTCCTTCTTCTCCTTCTTCTTGGCAGGTGGCCATACATTCCATGCCTGCCAGTTCGCTTGCTTGCCTTTGCCTTGCCATCCCATAGATGATCTCTGCCGGCGTGGTTGCTTTGCAGGAACCCACGAGTGATGTGCAGCAAGCAATATCCTTGCTCGTATGATACGATGCAGAGTATCTTGTGATTGGTGGGTGATCACCTTATTCTCCCGTAGCAGCCTCCTAGCCTTTGAGCGCTTGGCTCTAAGGCGTCGATGCCAGCTTGGGCTTTTTGGCCTTTTCGTGCCTCCTTAACCAATGCAGAAGTTGGCGTCCCCACCACCAACCTAACTCCAACAATGGCTGCGAGCGCCGAGACCTAATGAAAAACGCGCGAACTCTTTGAGTTCTGGGGCCCGACCTACGAAACCCTGTTCGCTTCGAGCCCTCAAAACCCAGAAAAGACAAAACAAAAACAGGAGCACTACTACCAGCACCTTCCAACAAATGATTTCTGGACACTCCTTAACCACTAAGAGAATATGTTTGTTCGACACCTCGAACGGAAGGTGGTAGGGACTGGTTGACCTCAAAAAAAAGGGGGTTCTTCACATCTCTGGAAGAGAAGTCTCCTTGACTCAACCAGGAGGCCTCCCACCCTCTTGGCCACGCCTTGTCAGGGATCTCCGAGAGGGTCACGTCCTGAGCGCCTAAGGATCGTAGGGTCCGGTAGATCCGGCGGCTAAACCAGGGATGCGACGTCCTGCGAAACGCGCGCGCCACACACGGGGCGCGGCAAGAGGTTGGGAAAGGGCATGAGAAAAGGATAGGGATAGTGTGTGGTTGGGGATTGAGCTCCAGGAACATCGAGATGACCAGGGTCTGGGGCTGTTCTTGCAGGAAATAACAAATTGTATCATAGCTGGGGAACTGAAGAGCTATGCAGCTTCGCATGCGGTGCCCGGATTATGAGATTGCCAGATCTCTCCCCCCTTTAAAGTCTTCTGTCTTGCTATATCCGATAAATAAAGCGCGTGCATGAGCGAGCTGCGCACGCACCTCAGGTGAACTTTGATGAGTCATCAGGGGTCCTCTGTCAAGATTCCCTACTTCCAAGTGCTTCTGGAAGCCATCGCTAGTAGGTTGGAGGCCATCGCTATTAGGTTGGAGGCCATTACTGCTATATAGTAACCAAGCGCCTCAGAAGGTGAACTTTGGGAAGGTGAACTTTGATGAGTCATCAGGGATTCCCTACTTCCAAGTGCTTCTCAAACCAGCAGGAGCCCTGTCCTTCAACATCGTAAACAGGGTGTTCCAGTGTTCACATCGGGATGCACCAGGCTTTCCCCCTATCTCCTGTCACGGCTGCCCACGCGGATGAGCACGGGTAAGTGCACCAGGCTAGCTGCTTGTGCCTGAACAAATCCGGAATCTTAGAAACATGTGTGAACCAAAACACGAAGAATGTTGGTTGGCTAGTTGCTTCAGTGGTTGGTGTTGGTTGACTGATTTGTTGGCCGGCTGCTGCTCAGTCGTATTTTAAGGTCACCAAATGTGTGTCAGGATAGGGAGGCCCTTGTCTCTTCATCCTCTGACTCAGTGGCTTTGAGAATGCCTCCAAATTGAACGAGACTTGTCTTCTCCCCCGTGCAAGAAGCGCCAGACACGTACCACTGTTATGGAAGATGGTGAATGTAAAACTCCGGGAAAGTCTGGCATCATCTCCCATATTCCCTATTCCTTTCCTCATGGCGTCATAGTCCATTCAGTTGGTCTAAACCATGCCCATGTTGTACAAAACAAGAAACACGGGCAAAACACGTGTCCGACAGCGTCCACAGTTTTTGAACCATGCACCACAGTCCACCAATTGGACGGAGCCGACTACCCGGCTCAAGCCGATCGAAGATCCCAAGGCTTGGGAGCCGACTCCCTGAAAGGCTTGTGACGTACAAGTACGGAGTGCAAGACTTCCCATGATAAACCAGTTGTAAGCCTTTCAAGAGACTCATAGTGGAATCTGCTGGTTGTATAGTTATATATTATATATATTATATTTACTATATAAACATATATATCTATAAACTATTTCTACTCGTACTCCAGAGAAGCCTTCCACATCAACCAAAAAAGATCCAAAGTCAGTTCCTTCAAGCAACCATTGGCACCTCTTCGCCAGACCCTGTTCCACTCCGCGCCCCTTCGCTGTGGTCGCCCCGCCCCGCTCGCGCCACCTCCACATCGAAGTCCAACTCCGCCTCGACCGAGGTGGCACGGTCGACACGAAGTGGTTGAGGACTCCATATGTAGCAGATGCCTTGAGAACAAATCTTATGCGACTGCTAGAAGAAATGGACGAAATGAGAGGATGCCTTAATCATCCCATATGGATGCCTTGGTGAATCCCATGTTGGATGCCTTGATTAAATGTGTTTTTATGTGTGTGTGTGTGTGTGTGTTTTTTAAAGATCTGTATTGATCCTTCCTGACTTGGTCTGCTCCTGCAATGTGCACTAGGGCACCGGGCACAGTGTGTTGAGTCACTGTATTGCACTTTTGGATACCTTTGAGAGTTGGGCAAATTCATGAGTAGTGGATCTACTAACAAAACGCTGGTGACTAGTGGCACTATTGAACTATAGACCTTCAATGACCTTCACATGTACGTAGTTACCCTACCTCGCCCAAGAAACATAGCAACCAACCCCACCTGCTTTGGAATGAGAGGGTTTCTTCTTTCCACCCTTTACCGATCGGCGACCCTTTCGGCGGTTGATAGGCTGCTGCCGTGGCACCTGCCGTAGCAAGGCTGCCAGGGTTGGTTCCACAAAGGCTGTCGCCACGTCATGGAGGAAGACCTGGCGACAGAAACACACGAAGGTATTCTGAAGGTATTCTGTTGGATGTTGGCGGTTCAGAAGGTATTCTGCCTGTAGAGGCCTGTAGGTGACGTCCATGTAGCTTATTACGTGGTAGGTGACGTGACGGCGTTCGGGAAGACCATGAAATCCCAATACCAAACAGGTGGTGAAGTCCTCTTCCATCCTCTTCCCATGGACTCTTTCAGCCTCAGAGATCCATGTCTCAGATCCTCAGGTATCGTGCCCGGTCATGCCACTCCTTTTTGAGGTTCCAAGATCGATCATCTGCAGCTGGACGTGTGTTTGTTCCGCTTCTGACAGCAAAGAGGTAGACATATTGGGATTTCAGAAGGGTCTCCTTACGGCAGTCACGCGACATCTCTTGGATATGGTTGGATGATGGTTTTCTGCCTGGTTTTTGGATTGTTTGGGGAACAAAAAGGACTTCACATCGCTTCGATGCGGAAATTCTTTCAAAATCCTAAGCGAATGGGTTTTGAGGCTCAGTCAGACGGTCTGCAGTCAGTTGCGCTAGTTGCTGTTGTGTCAATGCTGCTAATGTTCTCTTACAAAAACTCACATCCAAAGCCGCAAACCCTCCTCAAAAGTCTCTATACATCTCTAAACGCCGCCTGTGATGACCTCAGTAGTTCCATCCAATGACTTCAAGATCCCACAAGCGTGTTCAATATTGCCACCATCCCTTCCACCCATTCACGCGAAGGATGCCACTGTCCATGCCTTATTGGAGTCGGAGTACTGATCTTTCCGGAGCCACGACGCAGAACTGATCACGCCCAGCACGTCCATATGACACGCGAAAAGCCTTGGGGGGTTACTGCGCGGTGAGCCTACAGAATACGTGGAGCTGGAGGGAAGCGATTTACTACCATACTCTAGAGGTCTGTGGGCAGTTGGCCATTTGGTGAAGATTTAGCAGGAATTCAGGCCGTTCATCCAAGCATCGTGTCAAGAAACAGCAGGTTTGCACAAGGTAAGCTACGTGTGAACATCCTCGCGCCACATCCTTATGGAGTAAGTGGACCCATGTGGACACACCTAGCTTCGGGTCTCCTTGTGTTTTGTATAGTTTTCAAAGAGGTGTAGTTTCACCATTTCCACGACATTTCTTGGAGGGATGGACATGCTTTAAAACCCTTCTTCGTATTGTTTTTTTCTGTTTTCTGACCGACATACTACCCAAACACCAAACACACAAACACTCCATGTTTGGAATAGTGCTTGGAATATGCCTATACCGTGCCAAATACATTCACCCCTCCAAACCCATTGCAACTTCTATGCCAGTCCCAGGTTTGTCTCTTGGTGTCTATCGACACTGGACACTCTGGGCCCACCCTGGGCTCCGTGGTACCAAGGTACCATGCTCCATGGCCTCCCATGGAGTGCCCGGCCACCAGCACTCGTCCCACGTCCACGGACGGCAGACCGTGCTCTCCGCGGCTTGCGAAGGACCGCAGCGCGTCCAGCGAGTGGATGGCCGTGAGCAATCCGGGGCCTCCGACACGCTCGACACGCTCGGTTCGGACTCGTTCGAGAAAGCGTTCTTGGTTGGGTGCGACGTGGAATTGCGTGAATGTTCTCAGAACAGAATGGACAAAAACGAGTTGGTGCATGTGTGGTGCTGAAAAAAGCCTGGCTTGGAGAGGCTTGGACATTGGACATCTACTGCTCATGTGTCAGAGCGACAGGTAGAATCAGGGTGTTACAGGAGGTGCGGCTTTTGGTTAAAAGAAGGTTCAACTGGTATGTTGACTTCCAGCCATTTCAGGAATAATTCCAACAGCAGGACAACCATGCTAGTTGCCCTCTCAAACAACGCATGTGCGTGGCTGATGTTCCCGCAAAGATATAACGGTTTCACATTTATAGTAAGCGTCTTCATGTTCAATATCTCGGAGACGAACTTTGCTTCCTATCTCTCACACACACAAAGCATCCTCGGACTGGCAGAGCCCCAGCCTTCCCAGTTGTGAGCACCATGTCGAGTAGGCGCTAGAAGCCAAGCATCCTTAAAGCCGAAGCGATAGTCTTTGTCCTTCTTGTGCTTCATCTTGTAGGCATCAGCGCCTTAAATTTGCTTTGGAACGGGGACATGGAGACTCAATAAAGAACCCCTAGTCGGAGTGATGCACAGGCTAGGATCTGCTGTGGGTGTGTGGTGGGCACAAGGTATAAAGGATGTAAATACTATAAAGCCAAGGGTTCCCCATACCCAGCAGTCCAGACATGTCCAGACCAAGCCATTCTCATTGCGGGCATTCCCCGATGATCCCGTGCTCAGCCAAAACGACCGCCAAGAAACATAAAATCTGACTGTAATTGCAATTCCCTAGAGGTCTCCAACTACCCTCTGAGAAGACATTTCAAGTGGGTTTGGAGGACTTAATGCCTTCTGAGATGTACTTCAGCCCTATATATATATATATATATCGGGGCTTTAAGAATCTTAAAGATCATAGGATGCTTCATAGATGTGTGCGTCTGTGCCTGGCACAATGACGCAAACCATCTAAAGAAAGCAAATTGGATCGTGAGTTTGAACAAGCTACACTATTATTTTCAGAAGGGGAGGGTGAGCAGGACAAAATGCTTGCATTGCTCTGTCAGAAGACCAGCAAGTTGTGCACTTTACGTCCTTTTCGTGGAATCGATTCGGCCAAATCCTTGATGGCTGCGCTAGTGTTATGCACCCCTTCAGGGTCTACATGTATATACATCACATCTTTGGTCTTGGCATCAAAAATGTTCTTTGCATAATTGTCGTCCACGAGAACACCACCTTGGCCAGCGAGGGAGAGGATCAGTGAAGCTTTGTAGAGTTGTGTCTCCATGCTCATGATGCGTTCTAGAATCGGACTCCCCTCGCCCGTCTTCTCCAAATGATGCAAGGCGTCGATATCTTCCTGAACATCGAACTCAAAGCTCTCGGCTGAGCCAACATCCGAACTGTGGTCGAACAAATGCCGCAAGCCTTGATTCCTGGCCATGTCGGCAGGTCCCAGGAAATGGCTGAAGAGATTCACATCGTAGCCACCAGCTGCCAGTAGCGCCTTGCAGGTCTGAGGTGTTCCCATAGTTAGCACATGTATCCTCAAACCCTGCAAGACCAAAGTCTCTAGGGATCCTTGCAGCTGTCTGCGCACCTCCCAGCTACCCAGCACTGAGCTGTCAGAATAGTCCAAGGCCACCTCGCCCGTCGCCGCGGCCATTCGCAGGTCCAAGTCGCTCCAGGTTGAGACACCCGACCCGTCCAGGGCATCAGAAACACGAAGGTGTCCACATCGTTCCAGCAAGGGCAAGCAATAGCCAGACACCCCCGCATGATTCGAGGTCGTGAGCGTCCCGTCGAAGTCCAGGAACACATCCGTGACCTTCGTCAGCTCTAAGCTGCACCGCGGGATCTCGGGCGGACGCACGCGGTCCGGGGCAAGCACTTTGCGGGCCATGGCGACCGACCGTGGACTAACTGCTAGTAGTCGAGTCATTCCAAGAGGGTGGAAGACATTGAAGACATAGATCTTTCCAGTCGGTCACAGTGTGTCCCTCTTGACTGGCTTCTTTGCAGGACTTTAATTAGATACACTGCGCCTTCACAAACTGCTTGAGACACCCAGAAGTCCACCGGAAGCACGGAACACACGCACGCACGAACGAACAACAAGCAAGTTGTGCAACAAAAACATACAACAACGAGTAAGTATGTTCATGGGGAGACCTCCCAAAGACCTGTGGGAAAATAAAAACTGGACTAAATATACTAAATCCATTGGGAGTCTCCTGTTAAAAGACAAACCCAAATCCTGTATGTACTCAAGGGTCGGTTGATGTTGGTTGACCAATGCACAGCAAAGCGGCCCAGTGTCATGTGAGGTCCAGGGGGTCTCATCTCCCAGTGAATCAGTGTTAAACAGGGTGTGTTTCATCTGATGGGCTCGTGAGAGGGGTGCTTCCGAGTGCTTCCTCCTTCTTCAGCTTGTGAAGGAACCTGAAGGAGACAAGCCTCCACAGCCATGGCCTCCGCCACATTGATGCAAAGACTCACCTGGAAAAGCACCCCCAACAATTATCATTCCTTGGCTTCGACACAGATCCCGGCACCGAGGAGCTGTCCCGAGCAGAGATGCTGGTGCCAGACAAGGTCACCAGGACAGGGCAGTCGCCTCACGGCGCAAGGGGCTGCAGGGACTCTCAGGGCCGGCTCCGGGCTGGCTGGCTCCGGAAGACATTCTCCTTGTTGAATGGAGAACACTGGAGACCTCCGGCTCCGACTCGCGCTCCCTCCAAGGTCTGTCGATGACGAAGTATATTGGTTCAATTTGGTTCATATATGCTGACCTGGCTGACCAATGCCTCTGGCTGACCTGCAACAAGACTTTTCGGTGACCAGGTCTGCTTCTCTCCAATAGTAGGCGCACTAGGTTTGGAGCGTATATCTATTTTGTCAAACCAGTTCATTAACTCTTCATGGCCTGATTCATAGCTGATTCCAGCACAGAAACGGTCTTGTATTCGCCCACTGTGGTGGTTTTGGGGTGGTTCAATGTGTCTCAATCCACACCCACAGTGAGTAGCCCTCGACAGCGGTGTCAGCACCTTTGCAGCTTTGAGGCATCACGGCAGCCGCATGTTGCGTGGAGCCATCCACATCCTGGAGAAGGGGACAGCTGAGCCAAAGAAGTCACAGCAATTTGTAGACCATGGTCTTCTTCACCAGAAACAGACTTGACTGATCTTGACTGTAAGTAATTGAAATGGATTTATACTTCCTACTTATTCAGAGTGAGGTCATGAGAGCACACGACATCGAAACGGAATATATATATATATGTATATTATAACTTACAACTGTTACCGTTTTTAGCCTCGTCCTCCTCTTCACCTCCAACAAGCCCAAAAGAGCACCTCTTCTTCCTCCTTTCACCCTCTCTGTGCATATGCAGGTAGTAGTAGTAGTAGTAGTAGTAGTAGTAGTAGGAGGAGGAGGAGTAGTAGTAGTAGTAGTAGTAGCGTGATGACATGACACGCATGGTTTTTTTTTCCGCCCTCCGCTCGAATCGCAGATCGTCGAAGTCCTGGAAGGTGAAGACGAAGCTCTGCTTCGCGTGGCGGCACTTCAAGCGGAGCTTCAGCCCTCCACTGCGCAGCACTCGTCCAGCGACTCAGTTCCAGCGTGTGCGGTGAGGACCGCGCGGGTTCAGGGGCAATGACGTGGAGAAGATCTGAAGAAGAAGGGCCTTGAAGTTCGATGCAGAGTACACTGCAAAAGGCGACCTGTTCGATGGGCAGCTTCTTCATTTTGTGACCTTTTGGAGTTCCTGTTTATGACCGAACTTATGGGATCTTATAGGCCTGTTTGTTTGTGACCGAAGCCACCAGGGGATCGTCCGGTCACCGGTTTAGTGTATTTTATTATTGAGTGTTCCAATCAATTGAAAGTATGGGGCACAAACCGCGCAAACACCAAGTTGATCATATACTATAAGTAATATGCATGGAGCCTGATCTAATGCTTCACGGACATGGTCCGATTCTCTGGTTCAGTCGGAAAAATCATGAAAATTCAACACCGCTGGTATCGCCCAATTACTGGAGACCGTTGCCCGCGGTGAAACCTAGGTGGCAGGGAACCCCGTGGCGCAAACTGGGTTTTCTCTGAACCCCGTGGCGCCATATTCATTCCTTTGCCCGTCCACATGGGTGTCAAGCAACTTTTTCCCTCGAACGCCAGCTCCAGCATCACTTCCTCGTCTGCGTTGCAGGTGGCTCCTGCATTCGCCTGCGGGCATGAAGGCCTCCCTGACCTTATTTGAGCACCACCATCGAAGGAGGGTCCAACCGAGTGCACCATACTGGCTTCCATTGGGCAGCCCAAATCGATGGTCCTGCTAGGTGGATCTTCTCTCGATAGTAGCAGTATCACAAGACCACTGATTCCTGCTGCGGTGTTCAGGATTCCGATTGAGTTGGGCCCTGTAGAACATCCAGCCAGAACAGTTGGTATATATATAACTATATATATATATATTATAGTCAAATCAGTCATGATTCTCACACTGGCATGGTAGCTGCAAACGACAACACAAACAAGCCGTGCTTCTCTTTAAGCTTTTCTTTTTAGCGTGTTCTCCATTGTTGTCCATACTGTTCAAGAAATGTGCTCTTCTCAGTTCTCTCTTGCGATTCTCAAGACTGTGATTGTGTGGATTGAACTGCAACTGCCATGAAACAGGGTGACATAGTCCTTGTACAAAAACAGCTACGTGCACCTGTTTAATCGTGGTACACTTTGTCATACAAACATGAAAGTGGATGGGTGTGTAAAACACATATTGTTGGATATACCTGCTCTTACCAGGTCGCATGGCTTTTTGGGACAAGGAGAAGCCCTGCACTGCCAACACGACCCGCACATCACAAAACATGTTCGTCCTCGAAGTTCACGGGAATTCTGGCCATCTGCCCCGGTGCTAAGGGCGAGGTCGCTGGTTGCTCTGCGGCCAGACTCCTGGGCTGACTTCTGGCTACCCTTCTCCCAGCAGTGGAAGTCAAGAAGACCTGGCCTGTTGGTGGAAAAATAATAATGAGAAGGATGAACAAAGTGGTGCTATCCACTTCAATCATTGGTTGGGCAGAGTGTAAGCGCCAAAAACTCACGCTGCTTGGTTGCTGGACAAACGTGAGAAGCGTGACCAGCGGAAGTGGAACAAACCCATTGTCAAAAAGGAACGACATCTTCCACGGACGCTCGTCTACATGATTTGCTGCATGGAATGGACGCACCACATGTTTTACCTACCAACGTATCAATGGGTGAGTTTCTGTTCCCTTACTCACCTCGTCACTTGAAGAAGTGAAACTGTAGCTGCGTCATTGGTCCCAAGAAACACACGCTTGAGAATACACGTTTGTCCTCCCGGGTGAATGCAAGCAAAGCAATGGCAAAACAAGCTTTTCAAGTTCACCAAGATTGATTGATTAATGATGAATGCTCACAAAAAGACTCCACGGCGACTCTGCGGTAGAAGATTAGTCTCCTGTGCAGCTCTCCAAACAAACCAGGAGCCGTCTAATTGGCCGTCTCGTGCCTCCTGCCCTGAAACCGAGCTGCAAGCGTCCGGGTGATAGCAAGATCGGTCGAAGCTCAGTGATCCACTCCTTCAGATCCTTAATTTGAAGCATCACATGGAAGTGGACTGGAACATACTGGAACACTGTGCTGCTTGAGGTCCACTCTTGAGGTGATAGAAGACACCAAGGAAACAAATAAAACATACCACAGATTTTCCTGAGGGTCCACGCTATCCACTTGATTGTTTTGGAGGTTAACTGGTAGAATGGGTCCTGGGCAGAGAACCAGTCGACCTCAAAGAGCTTTCCAGAAGCTTATTGAATGAAAACAACTCCACGAATTCTCGGATACTTTTGGACACGTTCCCAATCCTTTCATGAAAAACCTTGGAAAATCGGCATTTCGGAGGTGCTGAGGTGTAGGTCCCTCAGTGTCCAAAATTGCGGGATCAAAGCTGAGTATGCCCCGCATGCCCGATCTCAGCAGTTGGGGACCTCATTTTGGATCTAGTGGGAATGATCCTGACCAGGTTTCTAAAAAGAGAACACTGCATCCCTTGACTCCAAATGACTTGCCTGTGTCACACCTCTGTACCCTCGAAAACCACGCTGGACTCCAAGCAGTTGGGTGAGGTCATTCGTTACGGACATGCTCCTTGGTTTTGCTTCTTCACCCCACACCAGCACCTCTTAAAATGGGAAGACCTCACAAATCACTAGCAATTGAAGAAGAATATGAATATACAATATGAATGCGAATATGTATAAATAAATATATATATACATGTATGTGCGTATGTATATATATATATATTATACTAATATTATTATATATATATATATACACTCTCAACCCTTGGGGACAAGTCCCTCCCCCGCTCACTGAGTGCAAAAAAAACTCCCTGCCTGATTGGCCACGCCCAGCGCCAGGCGCTCACCACACACATGGACAACGGAGGGCTCGCTCTCCAGGACCAAGAGGTCGGGAACCGCCAGAAAGCTCTCCTAGTAGCTTCTACGAACGTAACGTTCGTGCATCGCTACGAACGTAACAAGAAGCTACGAACGTAGTTAAGCTTCTTACTACGTTTGTTGCGATGCACAAATGTTACTAGGCCAAGCAATGCCCATCTACTCAGATTTACTCGTGAGCCACGGTGAGCTGGCTGAACGAATTCGGAGCCGGTGTTCAGTGGGTGAACGTCCATTCGAGCGAAGAAAGGAAGAGTTTTCACCGGCCAAGCGGGAAGAGTGAAGAAACGCTCTGGCAAGCCCGATGGAATTGTGAAGAGAGCAATTTGTGCATGGTCATGTTGAAAACCATCCAAAGGGTGTGCTGGCTAGAGATCCCGGAGTAGTTATAGTCTATTGAACACCCCATCCTTGGATGGTCCTGGTGGTAAGGTAGGTTAATTGTATAATCTTGGGCGAGTGTTGGTTCACTCAACATCACCATCAGCCAGCCAAAGGTATGTGGAAACACGCTGCGTGAAGCATCTTTGCTCTCAGCTTGGCATTGCCATACACACTACTTGCTCATGGGGGCATCCCGGCGTCCCTTAGAGACCACTTTCTCAGCTAGGCTTTGCAAAAGATCGAGATGGGAACACGCTGTTGAAATGTGTGTTGCCCATGACTCCTCAGCGCGTCAGGTCAATCTTACACTCCTGAACAACATTGAACAACTACACGAACACTCAAAGCCAATATGTTCAAGGTCAACGATCGTTTTGATGTGGACTTACAAATAACACGCATTCCACCGGTGACTTCTTGAGAGACTATCAAAGCTTGCAACGAATGGCTCGCCTCAAAGAGTGGCTCCAAAAATCAAAACTGCTGCAGCCAGGCTGCGCCAAAGAGGAGTATCTTGGAAGAGGTTTCTTTGACCTTCTCCAAATGGCAACTGAACCTCCAGCGCTGAAACGATCCAACCATTGTCACAGATCTCCCATCGAAAGAGATTGAGAACAACCCATTGCCACAGATCTCAAACAGCTGGAAACCGATGGCAGGAGAGGTTCGGCCCAGGTGGTACCATTGGGTGGTACCATTGGGTGCCAGGGTATTGGCCCCTGAAGCCATAGAAGTCTCCAAGTTTTGACCCAAACAGGGTAGAGCAACTCGACACCATTCGCAGGGCTCCCTGAGTCATGTCGGGTAGTCCGCGGACATGAACTCAACATGCCCACTCGTGCCCAGTCCTTCAATCCTCAGAATTCATTGATCCCGCCGTCAACGGCTTAACACTGTTTCAACATATGGCATTTTGAGGTTTACGCCCGGGAAGACTAAAATGGAACCCGAAAACCACTAGGTTGTAGATGAATTCCAAAGGTCCATTTTCAGGTTCCATGTGGGTCTCTTCCCGGGTGTTTACTTCAAGCCACTGTGTTTTCCACGGAGACGGAGACGGAGATTCCCCAAGTCGGTCCTCTGGAATCCAAGCCACTGTGTTTTCAACTTGCCCCGCAAGCGAATTGAGAGTCGATGGCTGCCAGGGCTCAAGTGCACCTCACTTGGAACAACAGTATACATGAGTCACTGAATAGTAAAACAAGGAAGTTCGTTTCAGCTCTTCTGTCGACTGAAGCACAACACTCTCGTGAAAAAGATTCTCCGATGCCAAACACTTGCAAGTGACTTTAGGCATGTAACCCTATGAAGACTGTGAATCCTCACATCGCTTAAAGGGATGGGTGTGTCCAAGAAACTACAAAGGCCTGTTCTTTCTTTCCGAACTTTCAGAGGTCTTTAACCGCAAGCGGGAACTACAAAGGCCACAGGACAAGATATCCGGTCATTTTCTGGTGGACAAGCTCTGCTGCACCACCTGCAAGAAAAACAGAACACCTCCGGCATCGACCATGTTTCTGTTGGGGCCAAGTCGGCTCGAAAGCACAACTACATCCCACGCTAGAAGAAACCAAAGGAGAGTGCCTGGGTCCAACCAATTTTCGAGCCGCTACCTCATTTCACCTGCAGCCACTCTGAAGCACCAGCTTACTACCCGAAACGAGCCTTTGTGGCGCCTCCCTGAAACGGTGTTTCGGTCAGGTAGGATGCCTGGTGCTCTGACTGTCTGACTGGTGTGAAAACACCTAGGAAACCCCATCTTTGCGCGTCCAGTGGCCGGATGTGGCGGAAGCTGAGCAAAGTAGAGATCACCCACCTGCATGAGAAATCAAAAAAACATCAAACATCCCTCCAGAGCAAGTGGCTCCAAAATCGTTGAGTCCTTGGAGGGACTTGAAGGATCAGAAAAACAATAGAAAACATATATTATCCACCAAATTTATCTGGATATTGTGTTTTTTTCCTGGAAGTGTGCTGGCGAGGTTTGGACGGTCTGTCCCCCTATGTTCCTACCTTTTGACATGTTTCTTGCATCCAAACCAGGATCTTCAAACCATCATACATCCAACCTGAGTCCGCTTAGGTTGACCTGGTTTGGGGCTTTCTCCCAAAAGAAATGTCTTCAGATAAACACAAACTCCGATAGTTTCATGGTGAGAGTTTCATGTCTTCCAGAACGTCACCAAGGGGAGTGGGTAGTCCGCCGAAGTGGATCGCTGAGTGACCAAGGTGATGTTGTCATCCACGGTGAAGGCTGCAACTCCTTGGCCTCACTGATCACAATTCCGGGAACAACTCTGGCAGTCCCAGATGTATATCGTATTATATTGTATGTCTATATATCTATATATGCTAGCCCCCCCCAAAAAAACCTTGTTTCTGAGTGCTGGTGTGCAGTTGGTAAGCATATTTGTTCATTTAACTATGTACTACAAAAATGTCCAAATCCATAAGGTTATGTGTTTACTAAACAGTTCTTGGATGGAGTAATCTAATTCATTGCAACCCCCATGCAAAACCATATGTCTTGTTTTTAGGGTGTGAATTGTACTGCTCTTATTGAATGCAGTTGAGCAAGTACATCATAACCAGAAGGCAAAGAATTGCAAACCCTTAATAATTAAATACTCCAATCTATTCAACTCTACTCTACTCTGTAAATTCAAATTCAAATTTGAGTCTATTTCAATTATTTGTAAATTCCATTTTGATTCAACTGTCTATCACTATAGATTCTAATTTACTTGGGATTCAATGCAAACCTAATTTTAATTCTATGTCAAGCTAATTCTAACTTCATTGCTATACAAGGCAGATTCAATTCTAATAGTGTATTTTTCAATTTAGTTTTAATTTGAGTGAAATTCTCATGTACTTCTAGAGAAGTGGTGTTACTTTGAACATGAGAGATTTTATGTAGTTTTTCCAATATAGAAGCATTCGCTTTCTTAACTGAATTAAATTCACCACCAACAACACCCACTCTCTAGAATGACACCAAAACTGAATTAGAATTCCATGTGCATTGAACTAGAATCAAAATAGGATGAAATTAGACATATAGAAACCAAACCTAATTTGCAATGACAATAGTGTAAAATTAGATGCGTAAAACAATTGAATCTGAACCGTAAAAAGGCATTACCATTAGAAATTAATTACACCGGTCAGAAAGTTGTTGGCGCAACTCAAAAAAAGAAATAGCGGGAACAACCGCGCCACGTAACTCCTTTTGCTATTTGGCCGTCATAGATGGCGCAACTGGTCTTTGGATTGCAGAAAATTAAAATTCTGCGGGGTGTCTGTGCGGATACTAGTTTTCCCTATTTCCCCAAAAACGTTTGGGGCCTATAGATGGCCCAATGGCCAAGTTCTGTACATTTGGTGGCCCGGTACCAATAGTGATTTCCTCATATTTCTTCTTCTTGATTTCCTCTTGCCTCTTGAACTTATTCATTTCCTTTTGATGTCCTTTTGCGGTGGGGCAATAGATGGAGCGGTCCCAATCTCCGCTATTTTCTGCAAAATAGCACACAAAATCATGCAGAATCTTCCTGTTTTTTTAAGCCACGGGGCGCATAGATGGCGCAACACACCTGAATGCCCCTGATACCTAAACCTGGCGCAATAAAAAAAGTCACCTCATCAATTTTCCCAGCGGAGTATCAGTAAATTGGAAGAGTCAAAGTTACAATTGAACCCAAAATAGAATGAAATAGAACTAAATTAGAAGTAGACTGAAATTAAATTAGAGTTGAATGAAAAACATTTAATAAGAATCCATTACTTAAATTGAAATTGACTTGGAACTAAGGTAGAATTGAATTAGAGTTGTTTTACCTAGAGCTTGGTTAGTAGAACAGTATTGACTTAGAATTAAATTGGAATTTAAATTTAAGTTCAATTAGACTTGAACTAGATCTAATTTGCAATCTCAATTTCATTTCAATTATATAAAGCTCAATTAGGATCATTTACTATTTGCATGAGAAGCACGTTGCAGATTCAAATTTAGATTCAAGTTGGAATTGCATTAGATCTAAAAATAGCCAAACATAATTAGAATTAAAATAGAAATGAGTAAATTAGAATAAAAACTGATTTATAATTTGTCTATACAATGAAGTTAAGCTAAATAGACTTAAAGTAGAATTCAATTAGGCTCAACTTAGGCTTAACGTAGAACTACATACTCAAATTAGAATCCATTTAAAGTTCAATTAGACTTCAATTAGACTCAAATTAGAAATTTAAGTAGAAATACAAGTGATTTTAAATTAGAATAAGAAAAGAAGTAAATTAGAGTTGAATTAGTTGTTAATTAGAACTGAATGAGGAACAAATGTCGGCAATCAGTAATATTCCAGGATCAAAATGTACTTAGTGCAATTTTGTCACTACCAGAGAATGCCAGAGAATGCATTCCTTCCCAAAACCAAGATCCAAGATCCAAGATTTGTACAGAAGTCTTGTGGACAATCTTGGATTTGGGATTTGCCAGAACATCCTTATCACTGTATCAATCCAAGATTTTAGCCAGGAGTCTTGTGGGAATCTTGGATCTTGGAGCTTGGTTTCGATGCATTCAGAATGCATTCCTTCCAAAGTTATTTACAGTAACATGTCGGAATTTAGAATCTCTGGACAAACAAGTTATGTAACCTACCTGCACAATATATATATGGTACCCCCAAAAACCAAGGTCCAAAAGGCCTCCAAAGATAGACACAAAATATTGCAAATACCAGCAAAAGTCAGGTGAACATTTTCTTTTTTGGGGGGAGTACCATATATATATATGTATCATATACATGTAATATCATGTAATGAGAAGTGCATCATACAGTATATGATTATATGTGTTTTCTCAGTTCAGAATACCCTGAAGTCTTTGCACATCTCCTGTACACATCTGGGAGATTGTCTGCGAGTCTGAGGATACTTCGAGACGCCTAAACTTATCTTGAAAAAGACGTGCTGATGGCTGAGGTGATCCTGGAAGAACTACCAACGTAACTCGTTTGCACATGAATCCTTACCTGACAAATATGATTCGGAGAAAGCTTGGTCCTAAGGTCTTAAGTCTGGAGGGTTCATCGGCCTTCAATCCACTTGAGAAGACAACTGCAACTCATCCTGGTTTTCTACAAACTGACCGGTCTAAGTCGTCTATATAAGTCTTTAAAACCGGTCCTTTAAGAGATGTCTCAAAGGTCTTTCACGGGTCCCTTGTCCCTTTCTACGAACCCATTGGTCTGAGTAAAAAATAGAATCGGCTTTTCTTGAACGCAAACACCATCTTCATATATTATAGTATATATATATATATAAATTCACACAATATTCAAAATCATCGCCACAAATTAGCAGGGGGAGAGGATGAAATGTAACTTACATCCTGCATTCGGAGGGTCAAATAATATTCAATATCATTCAATCAATATATATATATGTATATAACGGTATATCATTTAGTTGGAGCTTAGCACCTGAAGCCCCCACACCAGACCATGAGGGTCCGGTCCCTCCACTTTTTTGGAAAAAGACATCAACATTCCAGAGAGGCGATGATTCTCTGGGAGAAAACTGCTGATTCTCTGGGATCATTCCTCCGGCCGAGCACCCCGTGTGCACGGTGGATTCCACAACACTTCCACCCCCTGATTCCTCCAACCCAGATGCAACGCAGCTGCACCAAGCCCTCGGCTTTGAAGCTGCTCCAGGCAAGCCTGAGAGTGAGCTGATCGGGCTTCCATTGACACCCTCACGGCTGCATCAATGCGTCAGACTGTGTGCCTCCAACCTCCCAAGAGTTCGATTGTTGTGATCGTTTGTTTCACCCATGCAAAGAATCCACCAGGCACTTCGGATCCGATTGTTGAGGTGTAGAAGTTGAGAACGGTATGGAGCATGGTAGTTGTGACAGTCACTTCAAGTGCATCGTGTAGTCCTGCTGACTTAAGAGTTTCGATTCTGTGAAGCAATTAAAGTTGGTTTAAAACAGTAGATACCAGCGCTTGTTTTAAGACAAGTCCCAGCAGGCCAGGTCCACCAACGCATCAAGTAAGTGCGCGCGTGTGTGTGTGTGTGTGTGTGTGTGTGTGTTGCCAACAAGTCCAAAAGTTCTTGAGTTCCGATTTGGACAACACTCTGAAATCTGTTTGGATCCCAAATTGGAGAAGCATTCACCAGCAGGTTTTGTGTTTGGTGGAAGGTTCAGCCACCTGGTCAGTGGCGCGGCGCCGCTGAGGTCCTCACCACAGTGCGGCAAAATGGTTCCGTCTTGCATCTTACAATTCGCTGCAGTAGCCCTCAAGGAGGACATAGAAGTCGCCTCACGGCTGCATCAATGCGTCAGACTGTGTGCCTCCAACCTCCCAAGAGTTCGATTGTTGTGATCGTTTGCTTCACCCATGCAAAGAATTCACCAGGCACTTCGGATCCGATTGTTGAGGTGTAGAAGTTGAGAACGGTATGGAGCATGGTAGTTGTGACAGTCACTTCAAGTGCATCGTGTAGTCCTGCTGACTTAAGAGTTTCGATTCTGTGAAGCAATTAAAGTTAGTTTAAAGTTGTGTATACCAGCGCTTGTTTTAAGACAAGTCCGAGCAGGCCAGATCCACCAACGCATGTTTTGCCAACAAGTCCAAAAGTTCTTGAGTTCTGATTTGGACAACTCTCTCAAATCTGTTTCGACCAAGTAGGAGCAGCTTTCACCTAACCCCATCTCATCTCAAGGCAGGTTTACCCTCTCCAAACCGGCTCCCAACCTCCAAGATTCAGTAACGTCTAATATAATATATCCTCTCATCCACTGTGCTCCGTGGGTCACGCGTTGATGCAGCCGTGAGGCGACTTCTTTGTCCTCCTTGAGAGCTGCAGCAGGAAATTGCAAGGCGGACACATCTTGCCGCACTGTGGTGAGGACCTCAGCGGCGCCGAGCCACTGACCAAGTGACTGAACCTTCCACCAAACACAAAACCTGTTGGTGAAAGCTTCTCCTATTTGATATCGAAACAAATGTCCACCAAACACGGCCTGGCAGGTTGTTGCAGCTGTGGCCACCTCTGTGTACTCATTGAGGGCATGGGGACTTGTACTTGTCTTGATAGCCCCTGGTACAACGTTCAACTAACTTTCAGTGCTGTTGAGATGCCTCTCAATCTTGATGATTACCTCAACGCCACACGTGATCCTACGAAAAAAAAAAAAAAAAAAAAAAAACAAGGAGGCAACAGGGTCGACCCGGTGGAGAATCGGGTGAAGGATGCAAGAAGCCTTGATGATTGCGTTAGGCGTTAGCTTTTCCCACTGCCGAATCTTAGAGGCTGTGTGCTGCTACAGGCTGCTACTATAGCTGCTACGGCCTTGTCTGGGAGTGGCCATGCTCGCCTTATCTGAGCACACGCAGCGTGTGAAGCCTGGTGAATGGTTGCAGCTGTGAGGCAACACCCAGACATTGTAGACCAACAAATGCTGACAATTACGCACAAAGACTTCTTGGTGGTCACAGGGGCGAACAAATGAAACACATGGGTTTAAGACGTGTGGCATGCAACTCCACTAGCAAAGCAAGCAAGCAAACAAAGGGAAAGGGAATCCACGATCCAGGTAGGAGGAGCGCCCCAGACATTGGAGCCCCCTCGAACATAAGGAACTCACCAAAACAAAGACTTGACTTCCTTACTTCCTTACAGCTATTACTTTCCGAATTGGCAAACTCGGTCTGTGTGGAAGCCCTGTCAAAGTTGTTTGGATCAAAAGATGCCCAGCAGTCACCTTGGGTGTCAGGTGGTGTCAAGATTGTCCAGAACCTCAAAACGTTTCATTTTGAGTTGTCAACGCTTCGAAAGGAGCTGCACGGCACTAAACGGACAAGCTGAGCGGTTTGAGAGGTCATGCAGTACCATGGCTTACCCATCGAATCAAATGTTGTTCTTGAACTTCTTGAACTCTGCTATAGGCCTACCAGTACTGCTTGATAATATCTGTGGAACCTTTCCATCTCTCGCAAGCCCGACACAGCTGCACAGGCAGAACAACTCCAAAGTTGAGAAAAAGCATGAAAAGGCCGACGGCATCATCTCTTACGATGCAGCTGCACAAGCAGAACGACCACCAAGTTGACAATCATCAACACAAGCGTTCATTTCTCCTACGAATTCGACCTCATCAAAGTCT